TCATTTGAGTAGACAATATGAGCAACTTCGTTCCCTACTGTTGACCATTAATATAAGAATGTAAAAAAATATTTTTCTTTTGTTGTGTAAAAATAATAATTAGCTTCCAACAAATATATTCTATTGGTTTGTCCATTAGAAATGTTGTCTCCTGTCAGAATTTAGGGCCATTTTCTGATGCATAAATGTGAATAAACATCCATTGATTAAATGTATATCTTCTCTACTGAAAAGCTACAAAAAACAGCTGCAAACACATGTGAAGTACTTGCACTGTGGTTATTCTATGATCTGATTGTCGGTCAAAGGAAGAAAAACTAGTGTCAGAATTTATGCCGATGTTTCATGAAAGTACAGTATGTTCTATATCAAGCCAGCCAACTGAGTTTGCAGTATTGATCACAACGTGAACATAAACATTTATCAATGTAGAATTGAATTGTGTGCAACTAATATACTGGAAAATGTATAGGCTCTAAGGTGAGCATCATTTGTACAGTGGATGAAGAAACTATGGGGAGGTGGGACAATTCATTAGAAAGCTTGTTATGGAGGTCTAGATTGTAATCCAATTCATAATAATAATAATAATAATAATAATAATAATAATAATAATGATGATGATGATGATGATGATGATGATAAAGTTGGAAGGGATCTTGGAGGTCATCTAGTCCAACCCCCTGCTCAGGCAGGAAACCCTACACCATTTCGGACAAATGGCTGTCCAGTTTCTTCTTAAAAACTTCCAGTGTTGGCGCATTCACCGCTTCTGGAGGAGGTTGTTCCACTGGTTAATTGTTATGTCAGGAAGTTTTTCCTTAGTTCTAGGTTACTTCTCTTTTTGATTAGTTTCCGAAACCCGTTGCTTCTTGTCCTGCCTTCAGGAGCTTTGGAAAATAGCTTGACTCCCTCTTCTTTGTGGCAGCCCCTGAGATATTGGAACACTGCTATCATGTCCCCCCTCGTCCTTCTCTTTGTATGTTAGACATACCGAATTCCAGCAACTGTTCCTTATATGTTTTAGCCTCCAGTCCCCTAATCATCTTTGTTGCTCTTCTCTGTACTCTTTCTAGAGTCTCAACATCTTTTTTACATCGTGGTGACCAAAACTGGATGCAGTATTCCAAGTGTGGCCTTACCAAGCCATTGTAAAGTGGTATTAATACTTCACATGATCTTGATTCTATCCCTCTGTTAATGCAGCCTAGCACTGTGTTGGCTTTTTTGGCAGCTGCAGCACACTGCTGGCTCATATTTAAGTGATTGTCCACTAGGACTCCGAGATCCCTCTCACAGTTACTACTATTGAGCAAGGTACCCCCTATACTATACCTGTACATTTGGTAGTATGATAATGGTTAGTTATGTTTTTCCAACTTCTGATTACGATTTAGAAATTTCAGTGTCCACAGTAAAGCTTTCACCACACTCTTATGGATAAAATAATTACATTTGAGGCATCTCAATTACAACAGAGACAAGTACAAAGGTATCCAGTAGTGTTTGCTTGCCCCTTCAGTTAGATGTTGTCATTCTGCAGAATCAAGTACTTGCGCCCTTCTCTGCCATGGCACCTTTCTGCTGTAACAGCTTTCCTCTAGGAATATCTATGGCTCCTACCCTTCATATAGTTGGCATGTCTCTGAAGACCAGGTTATGTTCTAGTTCATGGATCCCCCCCAGTAATTTATTGTGGGTATGATTCAGATTTGTCTGGATGGTCATGTTCCATTTTTTTAAAAGTATGTATTCTTTTAAAAACTGTAAGCCTCGTAAACTCTTTTTGGAGTCAGATGGCTTTGGATTCAACAAACAGACATTTTTTTTCCTATTTCCGTAAGCTGTAATATCTCTAAATATACTTATCCCTCTTTCCTGTATCTCATTTTTCTCTACAGCAGTCATAGGTCAGAACATAAGACTTCTATTTATATCAAGATTGGGCACTCTGTGTCCTACTGAAATTTCTATAAGAGTAATTTGCAGGGTGCAGGTGTGTAATTGCAGGTATGTACACTGAGCACACTGCTTAGAAGAGACTCAAGTAATGGTGAATTTGAACCAACCTAGAAGTTGGGAGGGAGAAACTCCCCAGATCAAAGGAAGCTGATTTTATTTTATTTAAGATAAGTTAAGATATAGAGGAAGCATAAAAAAATTTAGGGGGGGTAATACCCTCATAGTTTCCCCACTTCAAATGTGAACAGTTAGTTGGACCAGAATAAAAGTGGGTACAGATATTAAAGACCGTTTGGTGTAGTGGTTAAAACATAAGGCTAAAACTGGGAGACTCTGAATTCTAGTCTCGCTAGGTTCAAAGCTAGCTCGGTGATCTTGGCACAGTTACTATTCTCTCAGCCCTAGGAAGGAAGCAATGGCAAAACCATTTTTGAAACACTTAGCCAAGAAAATTGCAGGCACCTGCCCAGGCAGTTGCCATGAGTCAAAAACTGAGTTGAAGGCACAAATATTTACTTTTTCTCAGGACTTTTTCCTTTGGCAGACTGAGCTACACTTTTTTCTCTTTCTGATACCTTCTTATTTCTCTCTTGAATCGGCAAGTTATGGGGAAGGCAGGGGTCCCTAGATATTTTTGGAACTAGGCTGAAGACTAACATGTCTTCATTCGATACATTTCTTTAAAGGGCATAGTGAAATAGACTATATCCTGAAGGCAGGACAAGAAGCAACGGATGGAAACTAATCAAGGAGAGAAGCAACCTAGAACTAAGGAGAAACTTCCTGACAGTTAGAACAATTAACCAGTGGAACAACCTGCCTCCAGAAGTGGTGAATGCTCCAACACTGGAAGTTTTCAAGAAGAGACTGGACAGCCATTTGTCCGAAATGGTATAGAATAGACATGTCAAACACAAAGCCCGGGGGCCGGATGCAGCCCACAACATGGTTTCATGTGGCCTGTGAAGCCATGCTGGAAACAGTGAGGGAATGGCCTCCGCTGCCTTGGCCCCAGCCCAGGCCGCCTGGGAGCCAATGTACAATTTTGTGGTGGCCATCTATGCTGAAATGCATTCAGTCTTAGCTCCACAAGGCCATCTATTCTATTTTTTTGTGGACTTCCTTCAGACCCTCCCTCCCTCCCTCCCTTCCTAAGAACAGAGTGGTGGGAAAATATTTGAGATAAGGGAGAAAAACAGGCTGGGGAGGTGTCACCCTTTGTGAGGAATGAAGAAATGCACCATCATCTGGAAGTGGCCAGCACATGGCCCTCACCTGCTTCACATATCTGGCTTGGTGGGCTTTGGGGGAGGGGACGCCATGAGCAACGTGAGAGTCGACGTTACCTGCGCAATGCCATCCTGCCCCCAGCCCGCTACGTTTCTTGCCTGTTTTTCTCCTTCCCTCATCTCAAATATTTTCCCACCACTCTGTAGGAAGGAAGGAAGAAAGGAGAGGGAGGTCTGAGGGAAGTCCTGCCTTAGTCCTACCCTGCTGCCCTTTCACCATCCCCTTGCCCCCTCCTCCTGGCCTATCCTGGGGTCTCCCATCCTATTGCTAAGGAAGCTTTGGATACAAAGCCGGGCCTCCTCCCATGGAGAGGGAATTGGCTTCCCTCTGACTTTGCCCTCATACCCATCATGAGCAACCTGGCTAAGGAGAACAAGCACAGCAGCAGCAGCCTTGAGGAGGAGGTAAGTGCAGCTGGGCACCTCCTTGGAGTAGTGGGCATGGGCTTGGTGCTGCAGGTGCTTGAGGGCTGGGCTGGGCATTTGACCTCTGCTGCCCAGGGCTCCGGGAAGCCTGCAGCACCATCCAGCCCCCCCCTCACATGGCCTGAGAGGAACAGTGAGGTTCCTCCAGTGGACCATGCCTTGGCACTTGCCCTGGTCCCACCCCCTTCTGCCAGAGACCCTCAGATCTGTCCCACTCCTGCCCAGGCCCCTACAGGCACCCTTGACATGAACGATGTAGAGCTGGTCATGGCCACCCAGTAGGCCACACCCACCCCAGCCATGCCCACCCAGTAGACTGTGCCCACCCTGGCTACACCTACCCCCCCCCCAGGACAACTGCAATGCTGATGCGGCCCTCAATGAAATTGAGTTTGACACCCCTGGTATAGGGTTTCCTGCCTGAGCAAGGGGTTGGACTAGATGACCTCCAAGGTCCCTTACAACTTATTATTATTAATCTTTTTAAGCAATACATTTGGATTTTCTACTATATATTAATATATGTGAAGTAAAAGGAGGAAAAATATTGATGTGCCATTGTGCAATCATGATATGTCCACCAGGAGAGATATTAGCTTTTAAATAATTCAGAACAAAATTAGAAATTCGCTCTTATGGTTTGCTCTGCTGGATGCCCAAATATTTGTAATGCAATTAATAATGAGCAGATTTTAGGATTTGTTTTTAATTTGCCCAACCCTGCAGTTCCTTGGAACTGGTAAATATACAGCCATTCACACATTGGTGTGTAAGGAGTAGCCAAAGCCTATGTGGCTGTCCCTTCCCCTCAATATCCCAATGTCACTCAGGTTCATAAAAAGCTTTTAGCTATTGTCACTGTGCCTCTGTCGGAGCTGTCTTCTGCAGTGGTTCAAATCCATTTACAACATCTGGGGCGACCTTCAGAAAGGGCCCTAGGAGAGCTTGTTTATTTATGGCTTGAGTGTTTTCTGTGTTCTCTTAAGGGAACAGATACACCATATGTAAATTTGGACTGTTATTTTATGCAGCTGTGGTTAAAGCACCATCCCCAGGACAATACTGGGGATGGAAGGAATGTCGAATAAGGCAATGTGGTGTGCTGATCCTATCGTCCATACTATTACTTGTAAGGCTCCTTGCCAAAACCTTCTTTTGTCAAAGGCATCTTCGATTCCCTCCCAGGTTGAGTGAAAGGGGGTGGGAGGCAGGCCAGTCTCTCGCTTCAAAGGGGAGGGGCGCTGCAGAACTTTGAGCATCCAGAGCCTTGCAGCAGCGGGAGAGAGAGAGAGGCTGGCTAACAGAAGGGTCAAACGCTAACCTTTCCCTTTGGCTGTCTTGCACGGCCAGGCGTGGGTGGAGAAGAGACGGAAAAGCGGATCGGGTGGGGGGGGGAGCTTGCCTGGGCTCCTCATCCGCAGATCTGGGAAGGAAGCAATTGCAGCAGAATAGCCTCCCGCCAAATGGCTCAGACTGCTGAGTGAGAGGCGCGCTCGTGGGTTTGCCCCCCTCCCTCTTTCCCTGCTGATCTCGCCTCGCGTAATTGAAGTAGAGAGCGGAGGGCGCAGTAGACGCCTTCAGACATGGCGGGGACCGAAGGCATCGCAGCAGGTAATGGGTTTGAGGGTCCCGCGGGCAGGGACGGGAAGACATGTCGGGGTTTGGAGGGAGGCTTTGCCCTCAGGAAAAATCGCTACGCGGAGCAATGCAGAAGATGCCTTGGAGGGGGACAGGCAGTGGCTCCGGGCTTGTGGGGTGGAGTGGGGGCAGGAGCCGGTCGGCTCCTGGGTTACATCTTGCAGGCTGAGCGTCGGAAGGCAAGCCCTCCGCTAGAATGCTGAAGCTTATTGGGCACATATTAGCGGTATATAATCTTGCAAAGTGAGTAGTATTGAATAGAAAGGAACCCCGTGTGGAGAAACATAGTTGGCGTCAGTAGTATTTCTGCAAAAAAGGAAAATTAGAAAGAGACGCCTGCCCGGGCTTAAAAGGATACTAATGATCTTCACGCGTTGTTCATAACGCGAAGCGCTCGCGTGCACCGACTTCTGCCCACGCACCGGCTGAGCAGACGCGAAACATTTGGTCCAATTTGTAAATTTTCTGGGTTTGCGCAAGGCGCTTGAACCAGAACTAAACAGGCCGAATTCACCGAGGACGCTAAAGCCGCAGCAAACTGCAGTTAATAATGAGCAAGACTTATTTGCGAATGCGGTCGCTAGACGTGGAAACCGATTTGCTGAAATATATTGTGCGGTCACTGGAGCGAAATAAGACAAGCACATGTAGCGCTTGTGTGTGTATGTGTAGTACAGTTTAAAAGTGCGTGTGTAATCGTGGAGAGAAACTGCCTTAGTGCTGGTTTGGGACAAAGGGAGGCCGTGAGGTTTGGTCCTTTTCTGAGCGTAAACTTTGCCACTGAGCGGAGAAAGACTTCCACTATAAGCATCTTGGGGAAGGTGGGGGGGGGGGGGCTAAGGAAGGAAAGGAGGTTCCATTTATCGGCAGGTCTGGTTTGATTTCCAGAGGTTTGAAAGGCTGGTGGCTCGACGCGTGTTTGGGCTTCCCCCCCCCTTTAGTTGCGGGGTGCGCAGAATTTTAGAAGAGACAATAGAGGATGTCCAGGCGTGGGACTTCCCTCCCCGCTTTTTTTTTAATTTTTATTTTTAAAAAAACAATGCCTGGCGCTGCGTCCCCTTTGCCCGTTGTTTGCGAGCTTTGCGCCAGGAGTTGGTGCCGAAGCGGTTCGTCTCCTTCGACTGAGGTGGCTGCCCAGCCGTCACGTGGTCCCCGAGGGCCGGGTGGGCGATTGCAGCAGATCGGGAGGTGAAATGGCCGGCGATAGGATCCAGGTGGAAAAACAATGCGGAGGAATCCGAGCTGCTGCCGCCCCCCCTCGTCGTCCTCCTCCTCCTCCTCCTCCCGCCCCGCGGTGGCGCGTCTCTCCGGCGAGGCTGAGCCGCGGGTGTTCCAGGGCTCTGCATCTGCTCTGCGGCTGGGCGGGGTGCAGATCACCCGCTGCCGGCAATGCAGAGCTTCCCGGAACCGGTGACAGCAGGGGCCGGCCGAGGAGGCGTGTTTCCCTCCCAAAGGAGAGAAAGGGCATTGTAACTGCACAGAGAGCGGAGGCTGAGGAGCGAAGCCTCCTCTTTTAAAATCACAATGGAGAAACAGAGAAAGAAAACTCTCCAGTTCTTTACATTTCGCAGAGGGGGAGGGGGAAGCTATTGGCCAGTTCTTTCTGTCCCTCTTCCCTGCTTTCACAGTTGTGATTGGTCCAATTAATGTGTCGCATAGGACAACCTTGGCACTTTTTCCTGATCTCTGCAGTTTTTAAGGGGAGTAGTTGCAGCTTGGATTCCTGGGGCCTTCGACCTTTATTTTCGTGGCCCTTAATAAAGTAGGTGCAGGGCAGGTGCAAATTAGGATAGTTTTTCCCTCTCCTATCAAAAGCAATAGTTTGAAGAAAAAAAGAACATTCGGGGGGAGGGGATAGGACAAACTTGACCCTTACTCAGCAGTTACTTGTGTATGCTGAATGGGAGGGGACTCTGCCCTCGTGGATCATTTTCTGTAATACTTTGTTCTGTGAAGTGCAAGTCAGCCATGGGTGTGGCTGTCCCCACGTTGCTTGTCACGTTGCTTAGTAAAATGTGCCAGTTCTTCAGAACTGTCAAAGAGTAACAGCTAGCTGTGCAACTTCCTTCACGTTGGGAATGACATGCAAAATTGAATCCTACTGTCAAGTGTAGCTCAGTTTTGCATGGAGTTGATAATAGAAAGTATAGCTCAGTTTTGTATGGAGTTGATAATAGAAGAAAAAATATAATTTAAGAACTGCTTCTCTGTAGTGTGCAGCTGAATGATGTATTACATATAGATTAGCTGAATCAGAGACCAGAGAAGGGGGAAAAAAGGATATCAGGAAAAGTGAAGAAAATACTTTAAATTGTTGCATTTTGCACACTAGTACTGTGAACGTATATTGTAAAATAGCATCTCCATTTTTTAAAAAAAATGAACAATGGCTTTTCCCCCCTCCAAATAATGACTTACAATCTCCTTTTGGTGGTAAATATTTAAAGTATGATAGAGATAGAATTTGAAAAAAAAGGAAAAATTGAAAAGCAAAGTTCTTTAGTTGTCATATAATTAGTGTGGTATATTTTATATAAGTAGGCAACTGGCATAAATTGATGTTAAACTAAATCCCAAGTATTTAGGTATATAACTGGTAGTGCTTAAATACATAACTCAGTTGAATTCCTAATTGGTTATATGAAGAGATCGTGACTTCTGTGTGTCATTGTGAACACTGCAGATTTTTAATACGTAAAATACTGTATTGGATACCATAAACATCATGTTGTGTATTAATAAGATAAAATCTGTTGTAATAAAATTTGTTACAAAGGCAAAACTGCTTGAGATGAGAGCAGTAAGATGTTGCAGCAAAAATTGGCCATAAATTATGTTGATGGTTCTAGGCCCCCTCAGCACTGCAGGCTTTTCAGCATAAGCCTTTATAGACAGCAGAGCTGAAACACCCAGCCTTTTGTGAGTTGGACCCACACCTCCAGCCTTCCTGGCCAACAGGGATTTACAATCTCACATCTGAAGGGCATAGCACTGGGAAAGCTCCCACTGCCTCCCCACTGCATCAGGTTGAATAGTGCCCTTTGCATGGTGGGCAAGTTGTATGGGATGATGATGCTAAGCTATTAGGGAAAATCTCAGTGGTGGGATTCAAATATGTGAACAACCGGTTCTCTGTGTGGATACCGCTTCCTGAAATCCATTCTGGGCCTGGGCAACAAAAAAAAAAAAAAAAAAAAAAAATTAGCTACCAGTTCTGCTGAACTGGTGAGAACTGGCTGAATCCCACCACTGGAGAATCTGTTACATTTCTTATTTAGCAGGCACATTAAAAAATGGTGTGATCATTCTGGGGATACATTATACTTGCAGGTGGTCTTTGAGGAGCTGGGAAGCATCTATTCCAGCTGCAGCCCTGGCCTCATGGGTAACAGGATTCAGCAACAAAATGATTATGTTTTATACCAAACAAATAAACATATATAGCTGGTTTTAATAAGCTTTTTTATTTTGAGCAGGGCTTCTTTGTAAGATTCCCCCAAATCTTAAAACTTGTTATACAGTCCTAGTATGCATTAGGACCAAGCAGAGATTATGAAATATGAGAGGAATTATATTGACTGTGCTTAATTAATTCATTAAAGATTTTCCTTAGTCAGGTTCCTGTTTCGTTAAGAAACAAAACATTTTCAGTTTCCTTTAAGATGTGTTTTCTCTGAAGAAAGTCTTGTAGTGGTCAGTGATGGCTACTCCCAGGAAAATATGCATTAGGATGTTTCTTTAAATTTTCTATGCTGTTTCCCCCCCCCCCCCACACACACACATTTCAGCTGTAGCTTGTTCTGTGGACATCTTTAAATTTGAGTTTGTGATCATGTATCTTTAGCCTGGATAAAATAATATTGTGTTTAGTGCTCGTAGTGTTAAGTTCTTCAAATATCAGACACATTTTGCTCTATTAAGAAGCAGTTTCAGATAAATAGCTTTCATCATTGTCCATGATGCAGTCATTTCAACAATAGATGTATTGCTGTAATATTTGGAGGAAAGGTAAGATGAAAAGCTAAGAACATTTTAAGCTGCAATAGCCTATCAAATCATGAAATGAAATGAAAAAATGAAATGAAAAAACCCCTATGGGTCCTATTAGCCAACTTGGTTATCTTTAAGAAACAAGCAAGAAGATTGTGAAAGGAATGGATAATTCAGATCTGGAAGCTAACAATTGTTAATTGATTTTTATTATTGTTATGGGGCAGAACATTCAATCAGGATATTTTACTCACATTCAAAAGTTATCTTTTTCAGTTCACTGAGCATAATCTCATAGTTGTCTTGGAGGCTGTATTCATATATTGTGCTAAGTCATGGCTCTAGCCATGGCTTGTTTGGTAAATCATAACTGGCATATTCAGTTTCATACATTGTAGCTAATTACAAGCAAGCACTTCACTTACTACAGTGTAATAATATGTAAGGGGGATATATGGAGTATCTACCACTGAGTGGTACAGAACTTCTTTCTGAAAAGACATGCACTAGAACAAGCTGCAAAAGTTTTGTTTCTTAATGAAACTGTGCAACACAACCACCTAACCTTTAGTCAGTCATGGACTAAAAAACTATTAGTTATCATGGAAACAACACTTGCATTTATTTATTATTTTATATCCTGGCTTTATTATTTTTTATATACAATTCATGATTGAATATTAATTCTTCTGTTCAGTTGTGCCCAATTTTAAGAAACTGCCTGAGCAAAAGTCTCTGCAGTATTCTTGGCAAGGTTTTTCCGAAGTGTTTTGCTGAAAGAAAGTGACTGGTCCAAGGTCACTCAGATAACTTTGTGCCTAAAGCAGGACCAGAATTCATGGTCTCCCAGTTTCTAGCCTGATGCCTTAACCACAATACCAAACAGGCTCTGTGTGTGACGGTGTATATGTGTGTGTGCGCATGGGTGTGCATATAAAAGATGTCTCAGTCTACAGTGGGGCCACCTTGTATAGTATGAAGATATTTAAACTTTCCCTTCTGGTTGAATAATTTCCCGAATCTTCATCCATCCAAGAAATAAAATCCACTCTTGGTATCAATAATGAGAACCAAGGCATCATTGTTACATGAAACAGAATTTTTCCAGTTTGTTCAATGGGATGTGTTTCTCTTTGTGTATAAAGCATTTTTGGCAGTCTGGCTCAGTGGTTAAGATGCTAGGCTTGTCGGCTGGAAAGCCGACAGCCCAGGTTCAAGACCTGAGTGCCACGTGATGGGATGAACTCCCATAATTGCCCCAGCCTAGCAGTTTGAAAGCATGCAAATGCGAGTAGATAAATAGGTACCACTTTGGTAGTAGATAATAACACTCCCTGACGTCATGCTAGCCACATGAAGTGGAAATGTCTTTGGACAGCGCTGGCTCAATGATGGCCTTGAAATGGAGATGAGCACCGCCCCCTATAGTTGGAGTAAAATTCACATGGACTCCTTTACCTTTATTTTTATAGAGCATTTTGGTTTTGGACTGTCATTATAAGAAGTCTTTATTACAAAAGGATTTCATCGAAATTGGTGAAGTTGAGAAAGTTTTGTTCATTTGAGTTGAAAGGATCTGGGGAAACAAATGCATACGCATCTCACATTGAAGAACTAAGTCATTAAAGCGCAACAAGAGAAGCACTGTAAAGCTTTTTAAATGAAAAAATGCTATAAAAATAAATAGAAGCCAAGAGCTCTTATGCAAAAGAAAAATGTGTTTTTGTCTTCGGGGCATTTCAGAAAACTCTTAAGTGAACCAAACTTTAATTTGGGTTTCATATTTTGCTATACAGATGGCTGATACCTAGAGACCAAAACAGACGGAAGCTCATAATTGCTGTTATGCAAGCTTATTTCTTGAATGCAACTACTTTACATGGCATTTCACTAAATAGCTCCCCACCCCACTGTTGTGATTATAGGATGTGTGATTCATTGTGGTAGCCATGGAAACTCAGAGGAAACTTGCTATATTTGCTAGAATGAACTAACATAAAATACATTCTATTCAAACAAACTTAAATCAGTTTCTTCTATTTCAAGTGAAAATAATGCAAATGAGTAAAACTTTATTTGGAGACTTAGTTTGAAGCTGATACAATCAAATATTGAAATTAAATCACATTTCCAAACAGAATTAGAAAATTGAATTGTTGAATGTTATCAGATGCCTGTGAAATAGTGGAAAATTGAATTAATTTTCTGTTGGATCATTCAAAGATCAGAGCCAATCTACATATCTCTAGAAAATAATGACACAAGAAATACATTTTGATTTCTCAGCTCATGCTTCACTAAATAAAAGCAAATGCTTGAAGGAGAGGCTGCCATTGTAAGCTGAAGAAAAAATGGGCACCCTGTTTCTAGCATAATAGCAATTATGGAACAAGATATTTCTCCTAATTCCTTAGTCAAGATGCACAATAGGAAGCCTCAAGGAAATACTACTTCTCTGTTGACAATTGCCTGACATGATTTGAATCATTGTCATATGCTTCCTGTGCTTTGAGGTAACAGGATAATCCATTTGCTCTGCATCCTTTTATATTCTGTTTGATTTGTTTTATTCAAATTTTATGTTGCCGCATTAGCCAATATTAATAAACTTTATTTCTGCCTGAAGATAATTAGTCATAAGATCCAGAGCATCTTGGAATTTAACCCAAACTCCTGAAGAAAAATAAATGGAATGGAGAGAAAAAAAATCATACCATATCTACCCTTAGGGGCCTAGTCAAAATGAATAGTCTAGTGTATTCATGATTAGAAGAATGTCATTTAAATTTAAATGACCATGGCATTAATGACTGAAATTGGTAATGTAGAAGATTGTTATGCCCATTGCTTTGGTTATTTTCTGGCTCTGAACCAACTTGACAATGTGAATTGAATGCCCTTTTGGAGCATTCTTCATTTTTGAAAGATGCCGAGTTCATTCAGAGTTTGCTCCCATTTTCTTTCAGATGCAGTTTCAACATCTGCCTATGCATCTCCAGCAAGAAGTTTAGGAGATCCAGGAATCACACCGTTGTCTCCTTCCCACATTGCGGTAAGCCGTATAATCTATACAGGTAGTCCTCGACTTAATCCTTGATTTGAAACTGTTCCTTTAGTGATCATTTGAAGTTGCAACGGCACTGAAAAATGCAACTTATGACTGTTGTTCACACTTAATGACCATTGTTGCATCCTTTTCAAATTCAGCTGCTTGGCTTACTCATATTTACGACAGTTGCAGTGTCTTGGGGTCATGTGATCATCTTCTGCAACCTTCTGACAAACAATGTCAATGGGGAAGCCAGATTCACTTAACAGTGAATCCACTTAACAACTGTGGCAAGAAAGGTCGTAAAATGCCAAAATACACTTAATAAACGCCTCACTTTACAACATAAACTTTGGGGCTCAGTTGTGATAGTAAATTGAGGACTACGTGTATTAGCTTTCTCCAACCTAATATTTTAAAAATGTGTTGGACGTCATCATCATCACCATGAAAATCTATGTGGTTGCTAGGAGTCAAAGATGATTTGATGGCACATAATTATTATTTCAGAAACATTACAACGTTATTGTTTAAAAAGTTAACTTTGTTGGCAAATCATTTCAGTCTTCAGCTCCTGAATTGTATCAAATGAGGATCAAACAGACCCAGTAATGTTTACAACAACTCCTTGAACTGTCCCATTTCTGTTCCTTGGACAGAAGGACTCGGATGCAAATGATGCCGAGGAACAGACGTTTCTTGTTGTGGTGGCCATTGACTTTGGCACAACTTCGAGTGGTTATGCTTACAGCTTCACCAAGGAACCTGAATGTATTCATGTAATGAGGTGAGGACCATTATCCCAGCCTCAGTACTTGGAGCTATATGATTAGTAGGTGTTATTAAGGGGACTCAAGGGAAATGCATTAAAAACTTAATGAAATATAAAGAGTTACTTCATTCTGTGGTAAAATTGCTGGCTTGATTAATGCTTTTTTTTAACTATAAGTAGCAATACCTGACATTTGATTTTATCTGCCTAAATGAATGTAGAAATATCTAAAAGCCACACTAAATTATTATTTCTGAGTGAGCGTAACCCCTTGGAGGCAGGCAGACTTCCCAATTCCTATATTTAGGAAGCCTTCCAGAGAATCTCTGATAAATCAGGTTTCCATCTTAGTTTACTGGCCCTTATACATCCTGTCCTGGCATCAAAAGATACACAGCCTCTCCTATCTTCTATATAGTAGAATTGAGTGTCATTGTTGATTACACCCAGTGCTTTTTTTGTAAAAAAAAAAAAAAAAAGACGTCGGAACTCACACATGTCATATAACCCGCCTTGCCTACCCTACAAGGTTCCATCCAAAAAAGGTGCCGGAACTCCGTTCTGGGCGTTCTATGAAAAATAAAAGCCCTGATTACACCCATTCCCCAAACTGATGAACGCCCCAAACTGTGATATTACATATGATTATTGGAAACAAATATATGTTGTAACCCCCATCACAGCTCCTAAACCCCAGATACCCTCCTTACAAGTAGGAGTAGAATCACTGCAATACAGCGCCCTCAACTGCAGGGAGGTTGGACATTGTCAAAACTTTTCAAGAAAAACTTTAATAAGTCCCTTTGGGGGAGTCTGTCCTACATTTGAATGGATGCTAAGTGATGAGCCTTAAGTCAACGGCTACCTATATGCAGCCTTCTGGTACTCTACCCTGAGTCGGTGTCCTTCCCGAGGGTTGGGTGGTCTGATTTCTAGGTCACTTGATCCATTGTGAGGAGGAATTCTTGATATACAAGGTTTTGGCAAGGCACGGTTTATTTTATGGTGTCCGGGCTGCTCCATCATGGAATTTCTTTCTGCTTATCTCCAGACATGTCTGATGATGCATTTTCAAGCAGAGGCATCAAACATATGGAAATAAGCAATTATCTCAACAGCACCAGTATTTCATAAAATAATAGGAAATAAAATTATTGTAAATTATACAGAAATGGTCAAAGTTTTTTAGATGTAAATATTTCCCCGCAAATTAGATTTCAGACTTCTATAGTTAGAAAGGGAATGGCCAATACTGTAATGCAATAGATTTCCTTTTAATTTTTTTTTTAAAAAAGCATAGTAGAATGGCTTTTTCCCTATGATTTGCAATTTTCCATTAATCTGCAATTAAAAACAAATCATACAAAAATTATGAATTGTGACTACTGGATCAAATCTGAACATTAGTTTAAAAGTGAAAACTGGATCAGGGTGATTGGAATTCCCAAATTATAACTTCCTTAAGTATTTCAGCTATCAACTAGTATTTAGCTATCCAAGCTCTATGTTCAGAGAGTTCATAAAAATGAATGTAAGAAATCCCAACAGCAGTTCTTCTTTTTCAGAATTGTATCTAGAGAACTTTTTTTTAAAAAAAGTAAATTAAAATTAAAAAGTATGCTTATGTTTATTAAACTGTGTCATAACTTGTAATGTAGATAAAGTTGTAAAGTCAATATTTACATAATAAGTGTACTTTGGAAGATATTTATTACAGGAAATGGCATTTCTAGCTACATTACATTTGAGGATGTTTACATTAAAATAAAAAAAAAAGTTCTATCTTACTCTTTTTTATTTCCCCTCACCCTTCCACAGTTTTCTTACTGCTTTGAACTGATCCTTTTCTACTATTCATTTTCAATCAAATGTAAAAGGGACAAAATTACTGTCTTGTCACTATAGTTAACACAGCTGTAGAGAAATCAATGGAGTGGATTGGGAGATGTGTAATTGAGTGTGAAGTTTCTTGTGGGTTGTGATTGCAAAAAATGTGAGCCCCAGCAAGATCACAGAGCTGGAGGGGCCAGTAAGCCAATTTCCTTTGCTATCCTGTTCTGTAAGATGTAAAATATTTCTTATAGCTCCCCTCCAAAAGAAAAACAAATACGGCTCCAAGGAGTTGCTAGTCTTTATGCCGTAAGAGCAGTTGTGAATGCAGATGCCACAACAGATTGCAATTTCTGTTATTACCTGGAATACAGATAATAATAGAAAAATCTTATTCTTCTGTACAGGGTTGGTTTTGATTAAAATATGTATACAAGAACCGGGTTACGTGACTGGATTATTATGTTATTGATTCATTATGTGCTGTCATAAAAACTGTATAATCTCCTCCAACACATTAACTTTTTGTTGGAGTGTAGTACTTGTATACATGTTTAACTTTCTCATAGAATAATAGAGTTGGAAGGGACCTTGGAGGTTTTCTAGTCCAACCCCCTGCTCAAGCAGGAGACCCTATACCATTTCACATAAATGATTGTCCAGTCTCTTTTTGAAAGCCTCCAGTGATGGAGCATCCACAATTTCTGAAGGCAAGTTGTTCCATTGGTTGATTGCTCTCACTGTCAGGAAATTTCTCCTTAGTTCTAGGTTGCTTCTGTCCTTGGTTAGTTTCCATCCATTGTTTCTCGTCTTGCCTTTTGGTGCTTTGGAAAATATTTTGAGCCCCTTGTTTTTGTGGGATGCCCTCAAATATTGAAACACTGTTATGTCTTCCATAGTCCTTCTTTTCATTAGATTAGACATACCCAATTCCTATAACCATTCTTCGTATGTTTTAGCCTCCAGTCCCCTTATTCTTGTTGCTCTTCTTTGCACACTCTTCAGAGTCTCAATATCTTTTTAATATTGTGGTAACCAGAACTGGTTACCACAAGTGTGGTCTTACTAAGGCTTTGTCAAAAGCCTTATTAAAAGGCTTTGTCTCTCATTGAAACAAAGTAGCTTAAAACACAATTAAGTGACTCCAACCATATAAGTACCATGATACTAATTTTGTCCTTGACTTCCTATAACTATCCTAAGAATGATGCAATTAAGCAGAGCCTTGACTCCTGCTTCTTAACCTTCCCTTGTTAACATCAAAGTGCTTAACAGAGAAAAGTGACAGGGAAGGCTTTATTTATAGTGCTCGAAATGCATAATAATAAGACTGGAGGCATTGCCAAGATTCCTGAATGTAGAATAGAGATGTAGAATGGAAGTCTCAGCTTAGGGCAGAGTTGCAGAGATAGTGATACTAGGATGGGCCAGGGAAAAAAGAGATAGGCTAGTAGTTGAATAAATAGGGACCACTGTTCCATCAGGTCAGAATACTTTTTCTTATCTTTTTATGCTTTGCCTTTTCTTTGATGGTATTAAATAAGAATGTGTACAAAAATAAATGGACAGTGCTTTGTTAATAAGCAATGTGAGTTTTCATCAGTGGAATTTCTTAAAATAGAACTCTTATTATAAAATAAAACAAACACAAGACTATAGGAAACAGGCTTATAAGAAGCTGGCTATTGGTTTGTGTGGACAAAGGCTCTTGATTAACTACTAGCAGCTCTCAAGAGTTTCACATAAATGACTATTTTAAGTCTTGTTTAGAAGTACTTTGGATTGAATTTGGGACTGTCCACAGGCAAAGCAGACAGGATAGTCTGGATAGTCCTAAATATATCTTGGTGGGGAAGTGTTATGGTTATATAAAGCCTTTGGTTCAACCAACATGTGTATATTATGCAAGATTGTGATCGTGCATTTCAAGAGTTATGCCAGTTCAATGCAGGATTTAAATGCTGGAGTGCATTGGCTTTGTTTTATCCAATGCTATTACTCCTTGTGGAGGGCAGAATTTTTACATTCAAGAATCAGTGTGCCTGAACAAAATCTAGGTCAGAATCTGTTCTCTTTTTTCTAGTTATAAGAAGGTAGAAAGAACTAAGAAAATCCCAACCTGAATCTGTCACATTCTTTTACTAACATTTCACACAGTACAGTATTACTCATCTTTACATCCTAAAGGAAGAAATGCTGGTTTACTATTATTAGATAAAAGCTGAAATTCTTCACTAGCTGAATTTCGCACACTAACGTGTGCAGTCTAAAGCACAGTCTCAGGGTGCGTTGGCAATTTTTAAATACTTGGACTATCCAAGATGAGGAAGGGTTTGATAGAAACATTCATTCATATACTAAAAGTAGCTCTGTAAATCTTAGAGTGCACCCAAAGTGGCTGGCAAAAGAGCACTGGGAAGAGATTCAATCCAGCAAAAGGCTTATTGCAGTTAAAATAAGATCAAAAATGAGTCAAAATTACAGTTATTAGGATTCCCAATCAAAACAATATTTTTTTTTCTTTGCTTTATTTGTGCAGCTGGTGCACAGGATTTCACAAGCAGCAATCTCAATTCAGACTTCGAATGGCACAAAATGATGCATTTTATCTGCTTTTTACCATGAGTCCCAGATTACCATGTGCCTCCACTAAAGTTTAATTGAAGATATTTGTATATTATTGTCTACAGTTATAATTTGTTAATTCAATAGACTTTTACTGTTTGTGTATCCCCACAAACAAGCCACTGGACTTCTCTCTGCTCTATAGTGGGCTCCTAATGATATATTGAGAAGGAAATTTCATGGACTGAGAACAAAGGATGTTTTATTGCAAAGAAATAATTGTGCAGTGCTAATGTATTGACTCAAGAGAAAGAGGTTGTGACTAGTTAGTGTGCCCTTTTGACAAGTGACCTCACCAGAAAAGCCTAAGAGGCTTAGCTCACGAGTGCTATTGACATTGTTAATAGTAAACTGTGTGCTACAGCAAGAACAGCAAGGAGAAAATACATATTGTCACCCACAAAATATGCTCTATATATGCTCCCAGAATTTTACTTCTTCATTATTTGATCCTCAAATGCGATCTCTTGTACTAAATGCAATGCCAGTGCATGTACTGAGCATTTTAATATATTCTGCATGCTGGAACAGAACCTGGCTGCTGCAGCCCAGCTCACCTCTTGCATTAGTAGCGAACAACCTTCTCCAAACCAAAAACCATTCATTTGGTTGATTCCCCCCCCCCCCTAGTAGTCAAGAGCCTTAGGGGACACTTCTTTAAAATAGGGCTCTATTATATAAAATAGTTGGTGTTTTTATTTGTAGTACATCTGAGGAAATATGATTTACAACGCTTTGGGCATTTGATGGATTTAATCAACCCATCTGCTTTTTTCTCACAGAGATCCATCATAGGAATCCCACAAGCAAGACCTGGTAACAATAAGGTCCTGCTTGTGGATTGTCCATTAGTGCTCAGGGGCACTTCATGAGAAAAGTGGCACACTTTATACCTAACCTCTGGTGGATTTTGAGCCTGTAATTTTCTTAGAAAGTTGTATCTCAATTTTTTTTTAATAATTCCACAAAGCTACTGTGTTTGCATGGATAAAATACGCAGATTCAATAGCAATAGATGTCAAATTTTGATGGATTTTAAATTATTTTCTTTGTGTTCTAGGCGATGGGAAGGAGGAGATCCTGGTGTGTCCAACCAGAAGACACCAACAACTATTCTCTTGACCCCAGAACGAAAGTTCCACAGTTTTGGTTATGCAGCTAGAGATTTCTATCATGACCTAGATCCTAATGAATCAAAACACTGGCTATATTTTGAAAAATTTAAGATGAAGCTTCATACAACTGGTGTAAGTAGAGAATACATTCTATATTCTATATAAGTATTTGATATAATTAACACTTTGTTTTAATATACTGTCTCAATAAATAAATATTTTTCTGCAGCATTTTACTTCCTACCCTTTTATTTAAAGCCAGAGTTTCCACACACAGAGACACAGAAGGGAAAATATTTGTGAATACCAGTGTTCTGAAAACTGTAGGACTAATGACATTGTAAAGTCCAATTGAGTCCAGTTCTTTGTTTAATTACATCTAATAGGTAGAACTTGCAAACTGTAGCTATAACCTTCTAACCTAGTAGATATACCCTGGGAAATTCTAGGCTATGGATACTCTGAACCTTTTCCTCCCTTCCCCATCTAGTTCAGGACTCTTAATTTTGTCTCTTCTTTTGGAATATGTTGTCTCCCTGGCAAGTCATGATATGATTGCCAAGATTCTCCCCCAACTGCACAATTCATCACAGAAAGGCTCAGAGAAGTGATGCTAGGCTTGAGGTCTATTCCTCCAATGCTGGGAGAATTTCCCCTCTCTGCATAGAGGGGAATGGACTTCAAATCGCCCATCTCCTCCATTTGCAATCTTCCCTGCTGGCTTCCCATTGACTTTCTGGGGAAGCCAGCAGAGAAGATTGCAAATAATGATCACATGATTGCAGGGCACTTGGCTATTGTTCTGACCCAGCTCCCCAAACACAACAGACGCGCCAAATAGTCTCTAACGTTCTTTTTATTTCAGGAACGCCAGCAGTTTCACACAGCCTCCAAACAACGGAGCTCGCTCCCTTTTCCCCTGTAGGCGTCTCCCAATACCCTGAGTTACTCTCAGTCTCACCACGCTTGCAGCCAAAAGTCCTTCAAGCAAGCTGACTATTGTTTAACATAAGACACGCCTACCCTCCGACTTCCAGCGCCATAGGATCTGTGGAAAAACTCTGGCAAAATTCCAAGCAGAAGTGTCAGGAGTTCCAAATACAAGTGGCAGGAAGACGAATAGTTGTCTGTCACACCCATTCGTCTCTGCCCCTGTCTTTTATCCACAACTGAGAGTGGGGCTCTGTTAGCAACGGTGACTCTTCCGCCTCAAAGACCGCCCCATAGCCTTTCGCTGTTCTCAGCTTTCGCCGTCCCCACGCATCAATCATTGGCCCCATGTGATCCTCATCTCCTGACTCACTTGCCTCAAGGCATGGAGGTCTCAACCTTTCCCTCTGAGGGCTGGCAGATGTCCCAGGCTCACATTACATATTGCCCAGCATTTATATGTAAAACAGCTAAAGCATTTATTACTTTTCTGCTAATAGATAAAAAGTGGGATAATTTCTGTAGCCATTTTCTAGTTATATAGTTTCAAGGCATCAATAACAATTAGCAAGAACATCTCTTCTTCTCACCTTCTCTCATCTTCTTTAGAGGTAGTCCAATCGCATAAGAGATACTCCTCAACTTTAGGACAATAAAGGAGTCTTTCTAACATTTTTTTAATTTTTTTGTGGTAGCTATAAAATGACTGCAGTCCTTAAGCAAACTAATGGTTCACTACAGATGAGGTTTTGCTAAAAACTGGAAGTAAAGGCCTTTGGGGGGGGAGTTTAAAATGTGATCACGTGACTGTAGGATCAGCTGTAAATGAGGCCTGGTTAATGAGCATCTGACATTTGGTCATGTGATCGGGGGGGGAAACAATCAGAACTTTGAATCTGGGTTGTAAGTAGCCCACCAGTAGGTCCATTATAAATTTGAATGGTCAGTAAATGGCCAATCATAAGTCAAGGACTACCAGTAGTTAAAAAAAGCATATATACACACACACACACACACACACACACACACACACACACACCTCCTTTAACATTTTAAATATTAACATGCAGCTACTCTTCACATTCCCCAAATAATTTCCTGAATAAAACAGATGCTCAATAAGATTTTTAAAAAACCCAAAACAATTAATGCACAACACTGTCCAGTCAGTCTGCCATATACAGTGGTTCTACTTAATCTCAGCTCTGCTGGTGAATCCCAGGACACATCTGTATCAAGGCAGCATCTCATTAAACTTGTAAATCACAACTAAGGGGGAAATAATAAAAATAAAGTGTTACAACCTGAAAACAGTAAGAATTGTGAGTATTAGGCAGAAGGCATAATGAGTGAAGTTCAATGTTGTATTCTTCCCTCAAGTTAAAAAGCATGGTTTAATATTTACTATTTCTTCCTCAGAACCTTACTCTAGAAACTGACTTGTCAGCAGCAAATGGCAAGAAAGTCAAGGCCCTTGAAATATTCGCATATGCTCTACAGTACTTTAAGGAACAAGCATTAAAGGTAAAAAACCCATAACATCTATTTCCAGCTCTTTATATTTGTAGCTGTCACAAATGCTGTTCAACCATTTTAACCTTGCCAAACTCCAGCCTGCAGCAGTTTTTCTTGATATAAACAAAGTGGAGCAGCTGTAGGAAATGCAGAAACACTGACGTTAAAACATCTAAACTACTTAACTCCTTCCTTCCTCACTAAGAAGACATTCCAGAAGATTCCATCCTGTTGCATACATTGGTAACATCCTCCTTCCACAGTATACAGTGGCAACAATTAGGTGCTGCTTCAGCATATTCAGCAAATTCTTGGCAACAAATAATTTTGCTTTTAAAAATATATGTTTGGACAGAAAGCAAAGTTGAGTAAAGATCATTGAGTGATTCTTAGGCCACCCAAGGATCTGATTTTTGATTGTGGGATTTCCCCAGATTCTGTAATTTGGTAAACAGAGATAGGTCCCGGAGTTGATCTATCATTGCAAAGTTAATAATGCAATTGGGCTACCATTCCCATAGATTCTTGTCACGGGTCATGACAAGATCTGGAATTATTGGGTCAAAGTCCTATAGAGAGCCAGATTGTCTGTTCCTAGTGGTTGCTTGTTCTGAACCAAGGCTATGTGCATCTCTAATCTGTGGGGAGCCACAAAGCCCATCTCCATGTCAAGCCACTCCCATTAGGCTAGTCATCCTTTTTCTGTTCAATTCCAGTTCTGTTGGAGTTCTCTTCTCATACAAATTCTACGGACAAAGTACAAGAGAACAAATTGAAATCACACTTCAGCTGTGCACTTTTCTGGAAGTATTCTCAGTGAAGTGTTCTCAAATTGCACATTCTTTGGAAGTCATTGAAACACACACATAAACACACAAACACACACACACGTGTGTGTGTGTGTGCGCGCATTGGCTTGCAAACCTTTCTTCTTTTTGACAATAAATTCTTTCCCCCTTTCCTGTTCCTAGTCCTGATTCAGGATCGTGGAAGAAAAATAATTCTTGGTGCAAAATAGCACTCAGAGCCAAAGAAATATAATACGAGTTTCTATGGGAAATGTTATTGTAGGTAAAAAATTAAATCCATCTGTCTTGCATACCATAGTCATGATCAAAGACATGATTCTCCCCAGTGGCTTTCTAAGAAATAAGAGTGGCAGATACAATCTCAGTAAGAAAGCAATTGCTTTGACTTTGAATGATGGTTTTGCTTATGACTGTTTCTAACTCCTTACTTTCTCACAATATTTATTGAGGTTTGGAGAGGTTTTTGTTTAAAATTGATTATATTTACACGAATTTTCTTCCATAAAAACTGGGATGTAAATATTCAGCAGTGCAGATAAAATAGAAATCAATAATTTAATTATAAAACTACACAATATAAATAAATAAGGAGCTCTTAGCAGATTAATATCAACTGCAGCAAATTAGTTTCAAAGCTAACCTGTATACCTAAATATGGCATTGCCAGTCACTGGAAGAATAGTAGTAACCATAGAGAAGACTTTCACATGCTGCAAGCAGTAGGAATGGGACATAAAATAGAATGTGCTGGCAATCGTTCATTTATGCCTCAGTCCCTTCCCATTTGGGTTACTGCAAAGCAGGGGTGTCAAACTGGCAGCTTGCGGGCCAGATGCGTCACGCGCAGGCCACGCCCACCCCAGCTCTGGTGCAAAAAACATCGCGAGACATCACGATACATCATGTGATGCAGTCAAGTTTGACACCCCGTGCTGTAAAGTGTTCTATATGGAATTCCTCTTGGAAAGCATTCAGAAGTTGCAAAACATGGTGTGGATGATGTTGGGTATTGCTCATTGAGAGCAACGCTGGCAGTTGTTTGACTTCCAGGTTTGATTCAAGGGGCTATTAGAGCCCTAAATGGCTCTGGACTGAGTTATCTGAGGAGCTGCCTCCTTCTATAGTCATTTCCTTTTCTGATTGGATTGAATATGGCCAACGCTCTCCAGGTCTCATTTATATGAGATTATTAGAAGCAGGTTTCTTTCCTGTCTAGCCTTATAGCTTTGGAAGTGTCTAATCTCCCATCCCAAATATTAATCATTTCAGCCTTGCATAATATTTTTTTAAGTTAGCCTTGAGAGTTATTTCTCGTAATGATAATAGGAAGAACAGTTACCAAAACAATTGCAGTAAACAGTGAGGAGACTACACCAGCTTCATAGAAGAGCTGAGTCAATCAATCAGAATAGAGCTGGAAGGGACCTTGGAGGTCTTCTAGTCTAACCCCCTGCTCAAGCAGGAGACCCTATACCATTTCAGACAGGTGGCTGTCCAGTCTCTTCTTAAAAATCTCCAGGAATGAAGCATCCACAACTTCTGAAGGCAAGCTATTCCACCGGTTAATTGTTCTTACTGTTAGGAAGTTTCTCCTTAATTCCAGGTCCCATCTCCCTGCATTAAAAAAAGAATGAGAAAATGGAGAATAATTCTTAGATTGCCTATATAAAGGATTCTCACACAGAAGTAGAGTTCTTGCTGGAATTTGTATGTTGTAATCTTAACATTCCTTCTTCCTTCCAGTAGATACTGTTAATCAGGCTCTGAGGTCTTTGTTTCTGGAATTAATTATTTCCTGTCCAGACTACAAGAAGGAAGGTCTGGTATCAGCTAAGGCTGGTTAGATGCTGCCACTTGAGTTTAACAATACCCACCCACCCCAATTCCTGGGTTAAATGATCCAAGGTGACCATTTCCTCTGTCTCATATCAAGGCCTGAACCCAAATTGAAATTTATTTTAAAACAATCAGCTTCTTCAAGAAACATTGCAGTATGGTATTAGGGGAAAGCTGACCTTGAAAAAGCTATAAAGGAGCAAAGGCGCACATCAAAGGAAATTGGAGAATCCTTACAGTAACATGCTGAATCACATCTTGAGGAGACACAAGGTTTAAGCAAAAAAAAAAAAAAAATTAGTAGCATTATTTTTCAGGCAATTAAAAAAAAAAACCCTTTGGTAGGGAGACCTTCCCTTTTCAGCCACAAATTTTAAATCTTTTTGTTGTACTGTTGGTTTACCACATATTTTTTCCTCTTAAGGAAATAACATTACACCTTTTCATTCTTTTTCTGGCTAAACGAAGAAAACAAAAAGGATACACAAAATTGTTGCCCATGATGGAATTCCTCATCATAAATACCACCAGAAACCAATTGGACACAGATGCCTAAAGAAAACACTTGAGCTAGTCTCCCTTATATATTAAGAGCAGACACTTCTGATTTTATTTAAAGAAAACAAGCAGTAAATGCCAACACGGAAAGAATTTGCAGTTAACTCTAAGTTTTAAAATGAAAAAAGTGATTTAATTAGAATGTTTCTTTAAATAAAACAGCCCTTTTAAATAAAGAAATGATAATAGAATGGCTATATGTTTACAAGTGCCACTAAACCTGATTAATTTTAGGAAAAGACATTTGGACCAGATCCAAACAAAATGCATTATTATGTTTGTTCAATTTGGACCTTCATTTTGGAAAAATACTTGTCCTTCCTGAGCTATATTTTCCTTGATAGGATGAAACTGAAACCCTGATTTAGCTATCTAGGCAGTGTTCTGTTTCAATCAGGTTGACTGATATTGACAGACAGTGCAAGAGGCAAGAAAATTATTTTCACAGGAACCACTAAAAAGTGTTACTGATTTTGGAAACAGATGGTTCTAATTTTATATCTCACCAGTGCATTTCTTCCGATTATTTTAGGAACTGAGTGATCAAGCTGGGTCAGAGTTTGAAAATTCTGATGTGCGATGGGTCATCACAGTGCCTGCTATCTGGAAGCAGCCTGCAAAGCAGTTTATGAGGCAAGCTGCCTACAAGGTAAAGTGAACATTGCAGGTATAGAGAGTAACAAAGATGAGTTTGATGGAGACATGCAGGTGTAGTGCCTAGGCAAGAGGGGCTAAAGTATTTTTAAATTCCAAAACATTCAGATAACATTTTGAAGTATCTCAGAGACTTCCCTAATTCATTGAACTATAACAAGGAGAAGGTACAGCACAATCATATTTGCAAGTTTCTGTTATTATAGTCAATAAAGTAGCTTAGAAAACCTGTGGAGCTATTTCATGTCTAGGTAGATGGTTGACATCAGATGAACATTAGCAATCCATCAGATTTGCAACTTTAGAAGTTCCCTGTTTCATATTTTTATGATAGCTAATTAGTTACTAACACTGCAGTATCATTTGCTTCGAAGATGTTCTGTAGTCTCATTACCCACATGGTCTGTATTTAAAAAAACAACAACAACAAAACCCAGGACAATACAAGTAGTCCTCGACTTGCTTAGCAACCATTCAAAGTTCTGACAGACCCCCCCCCCCCAAAATGGGACTTACAACCTGATTTCAAAATTGTGACATCCAAACCACCATCCCCATTGTCATGAGACCGCATTTTGGGTGCTTGGCAACCAGCCTGCATTTATCACCATTTGTAGAACCTTACTACGATAATGATTTACCATGGTTTTGCCGGCACCTGATTATGTCCAGTTTCCGGTAAAATCCAGTAAACAGCAAACAGAAGGCTTGCTTTATGACTGTCGCATTTACTTAATGATCACCACAAAAAATCAGATTGTAAAATCAGATCTGATCATATGGTGACCCAACAAAGAATATTCTATTTTATGACCATCATGAATTAACAACTGAAATTGTAGTTACGGTTATAAATTGAGAAGTACTTATAAATAATAAAGACAGAATTGAAGAAGTTCCTTTGTCTTTTTCAGCAGCCCATATGTCTCTTTGAGAAATACTCATCTTCTTCCTAATATTTGATAAATTTAGAAACTTTTGGCATTGGGTCCAAGTTTTGTTTTGTTTTTATGATTGATGAAGATCGCCTTATTATATCATGGTCCATTGCTTTGAGATTCTTTCCCTTTTTAGACTCATTTCCTTTTTAGACATTTAGATGCATCTGTAGAATATCATCTGTTTAATTTTGAGAGCTAGCATGATGTATACAATCCTATTGTCAGTGCCTTGGCAGCATATGTTTCCTAAAGGTGCTGTGGGTATTTTGATTAACCCCTAATGTATTCTGATAACTTTGAATAATTGTACATTTTTTCCAACTATCTATCTTAAAAAGATTACTAATGGTAATGTATCCAAATTATTTTAAGATTTTTGAGAAGGACACAGTTGTAGGTAAAGCTCAAACATTAGAGTCTAATGTTAATCTGTCTTGTCTCTGGCCTTATGTTGGTATGCATCTGTAACCATAAAAAATAAACAAATAAAGTATTCATGTTCTACTAACAATTCGCGTGTGTTGCAGTGAGATGTTGTTGAGTTTGTGAACATATTAACTAATCAATAATCAGATCAATACACATACAGGAGAAACGTGTTACAAAAATGAAGAAAATAATGGCAGGCAGGGAATGTGACAAAATGGAAATATCTGTAGTTGAAACCAAAGATGTCTGCAGGCTATGGCCAAAAAAATGAAGATGGTGCCTGTGACCATACAAGCGCTCTCCATCTTTTATGTGCCTTGCACATAAAAAAAAAATGGGTATCCCTTAGATCAGGAGTCTCCAACCTTGGCGACTTTAAGACTTGTGGACTTCAACTCCTAGAATTCCTCAGCCAGCTTTGCTGGCTGAGGAATTCTGGGACTTGAAGTCCACAAGTCTTAAAGTCGCCAAGGTTGAGGACCCCTGCCTTAGATAGCACTATTACAATGGCCATCTGACTTATTAACCACACCCTGGAAAAACCCACTGGTTGCCTATATTGTATGATTGGAAGCTACCTTCTGAATCAGACGATCTCTGTACAATGAGGGCTCAAACTTATCTGGAAGCCTTCATGGGTAAAGCTTTACATATATGGACTTTAACAAGTCTTTTGAGGTGGGAGGCCATAACAAATTTTGATGAGGATATGTATTTGTACAAGGGGCTACTCCCTGCTGCTCAACAGGTGAGTTCAAAATGTGTTTCTATTACCTGAACAGGGATAATTACTCATATGCAAAGGCAGAATACAAGTTGATGAAACAGCTAGTGTTACTTTAACAATATATTTGCCCGAGAAATTTCAACCTGCCTTTTTTAAATTGCTTTATTTTTTTGGCATGTAAATGGCTTTCGATTACTATTTTATACATGAAACTCTCTACATCAGAATTCATAAATCTAATGGTAAAAATAATAGGTATTTTTTGTTGATTTGGGAGCTGAAACTTGTTGCTATGAAAGTTTCTTTAAAGGAACCAGACTTTCTAATGAATTTATGTTATAGAAAATTGATGCTGAATCTTAAACACATAGAAATGTAACATTATAATTAAGAAAGATGTTTCTTCTGCTTGGCTTGGACAAAGACATTCTTACAACTTACATTGCATTACAAAGTCTTCACCACAAACTGGCTCCATAGTGGAATATCAACCATATGTCAGTAAAATTAATATCAAAAATATCTGCCAGTTATCTGACCTTCTTTACATGGATTATCTGAAGCTATTTGGAAAAACACCATCTGAAATAGAATGGATGCTCAAACTGTCGGTATATTGCAATGGAATTTGGACTGGACAAATGTGTCATCCTTACCATCAACGGGAAAACTCAAGAAGATCTGTGGAAATAACATCAATCTGGATGAAGGACAGTGAAGATGATGCAGTGAAGCTAATACACCAAGAAGGCTTACTGAGTACAAAAGAGACAAAACTGGCCTACAAGAAAGACCAAATGAAAAATAGAAGAGACATGGCAGGACAAAGCATTACATGACCAGTACACTAAAAATTAGCAAGCAAAGCAATAATAACAGGCCGGGCAATAGCTAAGTGCAGGAAAGTTGAAGAAAGAGGCAGAGGGGATCATTCTTGTTGCACAAGACCAAGTCTTAAGGAAAAATGCATAAAAAGCCAGAATTGAGAAGAGAGCAAATGACAGCAAACCTGCCTCTGCAAAGAGGCTGATGAAACAGTGGATCATCTAATTAGCTGCTGCAAAAAGATTGCACAGGTTAATTACAAACAACTACATAACAAAGTAGCAACAGTAGTACATTGATCTGCAAGAAATTTGCAAGCAAGAACTCGTGGGATCATAAAATAGGCAAAGTACACCTAGATCACAGGTCGGCAACCTGTGGCTTCAGAGCCGCATGCGGCTCTTTGAGCCTTCCCCTGTGGCTCCCAGCCTCCTCTGCCATTTGCAGACAGAGACAGAGACAGAGAGAGGCACTTGCGCTTCCCTGCTTCTCTGTCTCTTTCTCTGTGTTTGTGTGTGTGTGTGTGTGTGTGTGTGTGTGTTTAAAAGAGAGTGGACTCACTGTTCTCCGACAAGCTGAAAATCTTTTTGGGCGTGGCTCCTCCCTTTGCTGCATCTCTGCAGGAAGCAGGAAAGGTAGGAGAGAGCTAGCTAGCCCAGCTATGCTGACTCAGGAATTCTGGGAGTTGAAGTCCATGAGTCATAAAAGAGCTGAGGTTGCCTACCTCTGAGCTTATTGGAGAACAGCTTGAAGCCAGCTTGCCAGGTGAGCAGAAGATCAGAGGGGGGGGGGGGAGAAAGAGAGAGAAAGAGAGAGGGAAGGGAAGAGAGAGAGAGAGAGAGAGAGAGACGAGTGGGGGAAGAGGACTGGCAGACCAAAGGCAGAAAGAAAGGGAGAGACAGAGAGAGACCCTTTTGATATCTAAAATGAAGATAACACTGCATATATTCTTTTTTACCTTTATGAGATATATATGTGTATATGTATATGTATATATATATATATAGATCTTTGGTTATTCGGGTTTTCTCCCACGTGTATATATGTATGTATATATGTATATATAGGTAGGTCTTTGGTTATTCGGGTTTTCTCCCGCGTCAAATTGGAAGTGTCTTGGCGACGTTTCAACGAAGTCTCATTCGTCATCTTCAGGCTGGTGTTTTCGGCTTCGTGCTTCTAAGAGCAATGTGTGATTGTAGCTGTTTCTTCCTTTTAACTGCTAGTGGAGGTATGAACTGATTGGATGAGAGCTTGGCTGTGTTCTGATTGGATGGAGGTGTGTTCTGATTGGTTAGGAGCTTGGCTGTGCTCTGATTGGATGGGGGGTTGGTTGTGCTCTGATTGGATGGGGGGTTTCCAATTTGACGCGGGAGAAAACCCGAATAACCAAAGACCTACATATAAACACCCCGAAAACCTCAGAAAACATATATGTATGTATATATACATATATATACTGTATATATAAAAGGTAAAAAAGGATATATGCAGTGTTATCTTCCTTTTAGATATCAAAAGGGTTTTTCGGCTCCCAGTGTTTTGTTTTTGGTGGGAAACGGGTCCAAGTGGCTCTTTGAGTGTTTTGGGTTGCCTACCCCTGACCTAGATATTACAATTGTCAATAAGAAAGACCAAAAAAAAAAAAAACCCCACCCAAAAAGTCTGGATAGTGGATGTTGCAGAACCTGGAGATAGCAAAATAGAAGAGAAAGAACTGGAAGAAGTAATGCGGTACACAAGACCTGCAAATAGAAGTAGAATGACTATGGCAAAAGAAAACAAAAATAGTGCCAATAGTAATAGTGTAATCCCAAAACAGCTGGAGCATCACTTGAAACCATTGGCCCTGACAAAATCACCCTCATTTAGTTGCAAAAGCAGCTTTACTTGGAACAGTTTACATCCTGTGACAATACCTTTAATGCCATTAAAGAACAACACCTCTCTATCCCAGGTCCTTGAAAAGGATTTGAGAGGTGGATATAAATGCCAGTCTAAATATCCAGTTAACTATGCAATCAAACATAATAATAGTAATAATTCCTCTGTCCCAGAATACTGGTTCATTGA